CTAGACGTGCAGTAAAAGGACACCCACTTTTCTGAGGCAGAAGTGAAGGATGAGGGGAATGATGTGCAGCCAGGGCTGTTCAGTGATGGAGTGGAAACAGCGTTCCCACCTGATGGCTGCTTCTCTTCACAGAAAGTTTGGAGTAGAGGGGAGGCAGGTTGAGGCAGATCCACGTTGTCTGGCTTGAAGCTCAGTAAAGCTTAGCAGGTTCTATGTGAATGTCAGAAATCATGGCATCAAGTGAGACTTGCAGCTTTGCAACTTATAAAGGGCAACAAGATGGCACCAAATCATGAGACCCAGGAGAGTGCGGATGTGCGCTTATTAGTTGTACTGTCTTACCTGGTTTCCGTATGTATTCATAGTGACAAGAAGGGAGGAAGGTCATTTTGTTGTATTATTTTTCCTGAGCTCACTCGGAAGGGCACATCCTCTTGCTTTAGGAAGTCAGTGATTCCCTCTGAACCTAAGAGCACAGAGATGTACCAACGGGGGTGAGGAAACACACGTTCCCCGCTGCTCATCCTCTTAATTTGGTTTCCAGAGGCTACTGTCATTCACGATTTCCATGAAGAGGAGATGGAAAATGGTCAAACGGCTCCTGATGGCTTCTTGTCAAAATCTCTTCCTCCAAAGCTCATGAATATGGCAGGAGATCGTATTCCACCCAACAAATTGGAATCTCCGTCTGATGACTTCACTTGCCTCAGGAAAGATGGTCTGATTCACAAACCTGACAGTAATGCACTTGTAGGAGGAAGTGTAAACTGCAATCTTTTGATCGATGGCCCCAAAGTCACAGCAGTGGCTACTCTGGGAGCTGTGCCAAATACACTGCAAATAACTCCTGCTATGGCACAGGGAATCAATGCTGATATAAAACATCAATTAATGAAGGAAGTTCGAAAGTTTGGACGGAGTAAGTAGTGAAAGAATATCTATTGGTAAAATGATGTTTGTAATTTGAAAGCTGCCTCTTAAGCCACATTTTTTTTTTTTTTTGGCCGAATTCTGGTTACATATACATTAAAGTGATTCCTGTTTACTTTAACAGAAAGATCTAATACACCCTTTTCTTTTTGTTCCAAATTGATGTATTAGTTTCTATTGCTGCTGTAACAAATTACCACAATCTTTGTGGCTTTGAAACAGCACACATTTATTATCTACGGATCTGGAAGTCATAATTCTGAATTCATTTTCACTGCACTAAAATCAAGGTTTTGGCAGATGGTGTTCCTTCTAAAATCTGTAGAGGAGAATCCATTTCCTTGTCTTTTATAGCTTCTAGAGACTCCTTGGCCCGTGACATGTCCCTCCATCTCCAGGCCAGCAGTATAACACCGTCTCTCCTCTCTGACCTCTGCTACCACCCCTCCATGTTCTCCCTCTCCTCCTAACTCTACAGTCTCCCTCTTATAAGGATGCTTGTAATTACAGTGGGCCCTCGTGGATAATTGTGGATGCTCTCCCCATCTCAAGATACTTAACTTAATTATGTCTACAGAGTTCCTTTTTCCATATAAGGGAACATAGTCACACATTCCAGGGATTATGAACAGCTTTGAAAAGCCATTATTCAGCTTAGCAAACTTGATTAGTGTTCTCAAGAGTTTCCTTAGTAGATATGTGAGGATATCTTGATTGAAGTGTTTAAAATTCAAGCTATTTTTAACTTTCCACCCATGAAGAATGGTGACTGAGATAGTGGATGCACTGAGATTGAGTTCTATTTCCTCTTCCTATTATTTGAAATACTGAGGGTTTTCTTTTTAATGTCTTCAGAGTATGAAAGAATTTTCATTTTGCTTGAAGAAGTGCAAGGACCTCTGGAAGTCAAAAAACAATTTGTTGAGTTTACCATCAAGGAAGCAGCAAGGTGGGTGTCAAGAGGAACTCTCTCTCTCCCTCTCTCACTCTGTCTCTCTCTCTCTGTCTCTCTCTCTCTCGCTCGCTCTCTCTATCTCAGCAGCAGGGCTTTATACAGGACGTGGAGAGAAACGGGTGCTGCCTTCCTTTTTCAGGCACTGGCCCTCATTCATCTTTCATGCTGTCTCCACGGGCATTTAGATTGGTATTATCCAAATCTAACTCAATCATCCAAGCTCATGGTGCCTTCTAGGTTCATCAGAGTCTGGGAGCTTTTGCCCTCAATTGACATTCTTGGTATTTGCTAATCCATGAGAGTGCCTGTGTAGTGCAAGCAGTTAACATGCTCAGCTGCTAACCAAAAGTGTGGGGGGTTCACTCCACCCAGAGGGGCCTCAGGAGGCCTAGCAATCTACTCCTGAAAAATAGCCATAGAAACCCTATGGAGCACATTTCTGCTCTGATGCACCTAGGCTTGTCATGAGTTGGAATACACTCCATGGCAACTGATTGATCCTTCCATGAGGATGTGTTTTATATTCCCATGTAGATTGTAAGCTCCTCTTTGTGTCCCCTTGCACATCATGGGTGCTTTAAATATCTTATGGTTAACAAAATGTCTCTTTATTTTCAGGTTTAAAAGACGAGTCTTAATTCAGTACCTTGAAAAGGTACTAGAAAAAATAAATTCTTACCACTTTCTCAACAAAGTTAACCACATCAACAACAGATCATCATGTTATCACAAAGATCAATGAGAAATAAGGGCAAGTTTTCTGTGCTTTAGAATGGAACCAGATATTGCTGAAACTTCCTAGAGTGTAGCAGTCAAGAAATAGTCTTCCAGAGGCTATGAAAAGACAGTGAACATTTTTTTAGTTTCACAAGTCTTCATCAGTGAAAGTAGAGATCTTCCCCAAAGAATTTTCTTTGAAAGTATTATTTGTTGGTTGGTTTGTTTTCAGTTTGAGGAGGGTGACGTTGTTAAATCAGTTGCTGCCCCTACCAAAGTGATAAGGGTTCCTTCATTTAAACTTTGCTTTTCTGGCAATTTCCAGAGTAACTTGGGGCCAGTTGTAACAGGAAACGCTACTTGGTGCTTTTACTATGTCCCTTAGAAGGAATAGATGCAAAGAATCCAACTGGTAATCTTGTGAATGCCAAACAAAGTTTTCAACAATTCCTAGTTGTGCCTTTTAAATCATGAAAGTTTCAGGATAGTATGAATCAAAGTGTATGGAAGCTGCTATTTGGGGTTTTATTGAACAGTAAAGGCATCCCTATAAGTTATTTCTCTGCAGGAGGGAGTAGGGGGGGGGAGTCATAAAGCAGTCTACCTCCAACTCCCTTCTGTTTTGATGAGCAACATTATAAAGTGCACCTGAGGCTGCCCAAACCCTGTCATCTGTTCTTTTGCATGTAACAAGGACAGAAAGTCTTAAGGTGGACTTGCACACTCTGTGCTTTGGAAGCACTAAAAGAAAAACAAAATAATGTGTATTTTTCCTTTAATGTTTATACAAAGGTTTATATGGAACAGTATTGTTATGTTTTTTATTAATTTTCAAAAAATTAAGTGTACAAAAAAGATTTTGACTTTGCATATATAAAATAAATGACTTTATTGGTTTTTGCAAATTTATCAATGCTGGAGAAATTTCTAGTTACGTCTTTCTCATGATTTGTTATTCCTTTCTGAAAAGAAAAGGTACACAGTTTTCTTTAAAGAAATTAAGATATAAACATAGGGATTTAAACTTCAGAACATCACTCACATGACAACATGATGTCAGTAAAAATGATGACGTAGGGAACTCTGAGAATCAATCCCTTCCCAGAAACATTGAAGAATACTATCAGAATCAACTTTTTTGGAACTCTAGGAGATAATCAAAGGTTTATAGCAATGAAGTGAACACTTAATCAGGAGAACAACCACTAAAAACATTTCAGAAGGGCTTTGTGGCATTTTAACTTCCTCTGTTCCACCCTCCTCCCCAGCATGGGTCTTGAAGAAGATAGCCTTTAAATCAGCTCTCTTAAATATACTTAGACAGATGGACAAAGAACTAAAGAAAACCAGTAGAAGGATGTCTCAGCAAATAGAGATTATCAGTTGTTGTTGTTAAGTGCCGTTGAGTCGTTTCCGACTCATAGCGCCCCCATACACAGCAGAACGAAACACTGCCCTATCCCGCGCCAGCCCCACAATCCCTGCTATACTTGAGCCCATCAT